ACCCTACTATACAACCTTACCATTATATGGATGATATTTTATTAGCAGCACCAACTAAAAATTTTTCATTAACAGCATACCAACAATTAATTGAATTGCTAAAAGGCAAAGGCCTGCTTAAGGCTCAAGATAGGGTACAGTTTACCTCCCCCTGGAAATTTCTAGGATTGATGATTGATAGACACCTGGCAAAGCCATGCATTCCCTCTATTTCCATACCCAATACTTTAACATTAGTTACATTGCAACAGCTTTCAGGAAATATCAATTGGATACATCCTTTTCTTGGCATCCTGACACATTCTCTGAGTCACTTGTTTTCCTTGATACATGGTGATTCTTCCCTCTCTTCTACACGCACTCTTATCCCTGAGGCAAAACGAGAACTAAGCCTAGTAAACAAGGTTCTAACCTCCCAATTTTTAAATCGCTTTGATCCAGAAAATTCCCTTATGCCTTTATGTGATAAACACACCTAAGAGTCCTACTGTTATCGTCTTTCAAAAAGCGGGCAAGGTTATAAAATGCTTGGAGTGGATATACTTGCCCCACACACCAGCTAAGGTACTCTATACATATTTTGATGGAATAGCAGAGGTTATTCAAAGGGGACGTTTACGGTGTTTACAATTGCGAGGCGCTGACCCTCAGACCATTTTTTTACCTTGCACATCTTCTCAGTTTGATCATCTCCTCGGTTCTCTCTTCGCAACCTATTCCTGATGCCTTAACTTGTTCACTGACAGCTCCGGAAAAAACAGAAAAGCCAGTATAGCTTGGTTTGCTAATAGTGACTGGCAGACCAAAGTCTCTCACGGACATTCAACTACTCAAATTGCAGAATTGGCAGCTGTGCACCTTTCCTTCTGTTCCTTTGAATATTCTTATGGATTCTGCTTATGTAGCTAATGCTGTCCCGCTTTTGCCCTCTGTTTTAAACTTTCATCAAACCACACAAGATATTTTCACTCATTTTCTGAAAATCAAGCAATTATTGTCCCAGCGTACTCACTCCTGCTTTATTGCACACATACGCTCTCACACTCCTCTTCCTGGTCCTTTATCTCAAGGAAATGCTATTGTTGATTCTGTTGTAGCCAATGTTTGACTTGACTGTCCTGCGTTTACAGCAGCACGTTTGTTTCACGCCTTACATCATTGCAATGCTCCAGCCCTGTGCTTGCACTTTCACTTAACAAAACGACAGGCTGGACAAATAGTTGCTGGTTGCCCAGGCTGTCAACAATCTTCCCTAGCCACCTCTCCCTTCGCTGCTGATGGGGTTAACCCTCATGGACTATACAGCAATGATCTTTGGCAAACGAACACAACAATATTTTCACCTTTTGGACGTTTCAAGTATATTATCGCTTCTGTTGACACTCACTCTCGATTTCTTTTCGCATCGGCACATACAAAAAGTAGCGCTAAACAAGTCATTCGTCGTTGGCTTGCTATATTTGCTTTCGTGAGGTCTCCTACATGCATTAAAACTGATAATGGTCCTGAGTTCTCAGTGCAAATTTTCCGCCAATTTTGTGCAAATTGGAATATTATCCATAAAACTGGCATCCCCTATAATTCTACGGGACAAGCTATTATTGAGCGATGTCATAGAATGCTAAAGGATGCTTTACAAAAAATGAAAGGGGGAAATGAGTATTATAAGAATGATCTGCAAGGTATTCTCAATCACGCCTTATTTACTTTAAATTTTTTCAATCTAGCAGAGGATGGCACATCAGCTGCAGAAAGATATATGGGTCAAACTCAGAACCATATGGCCCAACAAAGGCCAGCATTACACACATCTGTTTTGACACAATATCTTGGCAAAGTGTGGATTAAAACGTCCTTATACGGATATCTGGGAGGGCCCTTTTATGGTTAAATGTGGGAAGAGAGGAGCTCTTTGTGTTTTGACAGATAAAGGCATTGAGTGCATTCCATCAAAACGCGCACGGCCTGCTCTGGAATTATCCAGAAAATGGACAAACGGATAAGTAAATCAGTTTTTTTCTTTTTCCTCTTTTCTTCTCTAATGCATGTTGAGGTGATTTCAGAACATGAGAATCTCACATATTGGGCCTTTATTCCTAATCCTCCTCTCTTTACTCCCGGTTACTTGGTGGCATGCCAATCCCCCTTTGTCCTCTAACGATTCTGATTGGACAGGAGGAACCGGGGTACCCTGACAACAACATGCAGGCCTGCACCAAAAGGAAGAAGGACCTCTGGTGATGTATGCTAACAATTCACCTTTTTGTATGGTTTATTAAAACAAAAGCACAACATGTGTCACCTTTCAGGAACAAATGTATTTGTATTACCAACCTAAGAAAGGACAACAGGCAGCCGATCTGACATACATTACTGCTATATCAACATCTTACGAAGACAAAAGTCATGTCACACAAGTTCCTTGCATCCCAATTTGCCATCCAAAAACTGATTGGTGTTACAAACATTACTCAGTACAGTGGTCCCCTTGCCATACAGCATATCCAAGGCGGGGCAACATCCCTGGGGCCAACGTGCTGGATTAGGGACCTCATGGACATCTTTTGAGTGACAATCATACTTGGGCCTTCAACAGATCAAGTCAGAAACCTATAACATGAAGCGAACAGAGCCTATCTGGACCCCTTTTACAACTATCTTACAATGAGACAGTGTGCAGCCCCTCACAAAGGAATATGGAGGATTGGGTTGCCTTTTATATCACAATTGTCCCATGGCAAGTATGGGAATGAAACTGGCAATTATTTACTAACATTGGTCAAAAATGTTTCTGATACCGTAATGATTTGTACCACCCATCCTTATGTGTTATTATGGGGAAACAGTGTCCCTGCTATCCAAGAATCTTCTGGTATGTATGTGGTTAATATTTCTCCCCCATATTGGTATTCTGATTGTTTAACACATTATAATGTAACCTCATTGAATGTGATATATGTAATGGTGTTAAAAAGAAGAGCACATATTTAGTTACCTGTTTCTCTAAATCGGACATGCTCCGAAGAGCATGCTCTACATATCCTCCTTGAGTCCATGAGAAAATTACGCCCTAAGCGGTTTTTGGCTACACTAATCACGTTCATTGTGTCTGCGGTGATTATCATTGCATCAGCCGCTACAGCTCCTACTGCCTTGGTTAACAGTTTTCAAACAGCCCATAAGGTGGAGTCCGTCTTGGTAAATGTCACGATTGCAGGCATTAGAGGCAGCAGTAGAGTGGCTGGGAGAGCAGTAAAGTGCATTAAATATGCGTATGAAACTAAAATGTGATTGGCAATTTACCATGCAATGCGTTACCCTCCTACCGTATAATAGCTCGCTGACACCTTGGCAAGAATGAAAAAAAAAACATTTACAGGGGGCATTTAATACCTCCCTGGCCAATGACATCACTGGGCTACAAGCTCGGTTAGAGAGGCAGTTACAAGAAGTACATAAGGTGTTCTCTCAACAAATGTTTCAAGGCATTGAAAATGGGTTACACTGACTAGAGCCCTCCAATTGGTTCTCGGACCTCTATTTATGCATATTTGTTAATGTTGGTGTGATTTTGATATTATCCATGTTAATAGTTTATGTTTTACGTCTGCTGTGCTCCCTGAAAAAACAACAAAGTCAACAAGAGCAAGTATTGGTTATGATGGGCCTTTTGGCCTCAGCACAACATGAAGCCTTCCTTGCTTTAAAAAACAAAAAGCGGGGAAATGTAGCTGCCTCTGACACAGGAAGGGTTAATCACTGGAAAAAGCTTGCCAACAAACTGTGACCAGGAGGTGAGAAGGCTGGTTAGCCAATGACGGGTAAGACCTCCAGCAGGGGGAGGCAACCTAAGACAGGCATCCGCTGCGGGGGGGGGGGGGGGGGGG